CATAATCTACTGGAACTATGGGAGACAATGTTTCCACTAACATCTACAAAGGGAGTCTGAAAGGTTTTCCTTCAAACATCTTGGACTGCATTCCCACTTTATAATGTACCTTCAAAAAACTTACATTTCTGGTTGCGTCTGAGAAAACACCCCACACCTGATCTTGCAAATTGCTGTCATTAATTCTCAAACTGTTCTTGATCCAATTCTGTGCATAGAAAAAACAATAATAAGTGAAAATATCCTCCGATTTTATTTCTTCATTACAATATAACTGGTTCTTGTTTTTTATTTTTCATTTAAGAACCAAATCACTGCTTTTGTCTAAGATCTGGTTAGAGGTTACTCCTATTATATCTCTCAAGCCTCTTTGCTAAATTATTTCGTGTAATGTCTAAGAACTGTTAGGAGGCTACACCAATTGCCTCCCCAAGTGGTAAATATATACAAAAGATAATCCTGAAGCTTTTTGATACAAATGGCTATGTTAAGGTCCCATCAAATCTTCTGACTGTTCCCATGAGTTAAAACATTAATGATCTGATCTTATTTATATCTTATTTATTTTGTACTGGACATATGGTCACACTCCTAAATGGATACCTTAGTTTATTACAAGAAAGTATAATTTAAGCAAATAGCTCAATGCAAACATTTCAAAGTTGTTTGGGTTATTGCAGGTGTTCCTGGTGAAAATGAAAATATAGCAGTAAATTATGCTGTTCACATTATGTGCAAGAGATCAACTTTTAGAAATGGGGAATTCAATATTAAATGTAATGTAAAGATTTTTGCATTGCAATAAAAACCCTAGGAAATTAGTAAATTGGAACAATTAACTTTTGCAAAAAACCTTTGATCTTCCACTGCAATGTGTCTTATCAAAAAGAGAGGCTTCTGGAAAATACTAGTTTTCCTGCTCAGAACATTAATCCTGTAGGGAAATAGTCTAACCCTCAACTTGCTAGCAGCAATTTCACCACAGCTCTATTAAGTTCTATTTGAGTGCTTTGGAAGCAAGGCTGATCTCTCAGCCTCACAATCTGAGGCAAAGAACAGGGGGGCGGGGGGGAAAGGCCCATTTGTGAGTAATTCTTCACTTTTAATGAAATTCTTTACACAGTAAATTCTCCACATCTGTAATTTACTTTAGTGAAGCATGCAGAGCAGGAGAGTGTCAGAATACTGAGTAACAGGAAAACCCTCAAAACAGGACCTCGCCTTCAGGAAAAAAACAAAGCCAAGGAAATAAGAAATCTTTAAAGTATGTATAAGAATTTGGGCATTCAATAGAAATAGCAAATAGTCAAAAAAGAAAGGTATTGAAAACAGAACAAACCTACATACGGAGATTAAGGTTAAAATGCAAGTCTCTGGCTTAACACCTAATTAAACTGGCAGACCAAGAGTCATTTTAAGCAAATTTTACAAACACTGCCTATTTGAAATTCAGTTATTACACAATCTATACAAATGCTTAACTGAGCAATTTGTTCCACCTTTATTAAAAGAGAGTGGCATTCCCTAAAAAAGTCTATTTTTGTCTTCACTGCACAGATAACTGCAAATCTCTATTAAAACATACCTGAAACTTTACTTTTTTTCTTGGAATGTTATCAAAGGCACGTATTTGCTCCAGAATGTTCCGCACTTTGGGGCTTATGTTGGGCTTCTTCATTACCTCATGAATTTTCTGAATGAAGAAAAACAGAATTAAATCAGCAAAGCAGCATAAGAATCAAATGGTACATGTCAGGTGTGCAAGTCTGAAATACACTGGGCAGAAATCACTCAGCTGGTATAGTCTGCTCATAGGAAATGCTCAAAAAACATGAGAAAAACACTGACCTTTGGCTCTATCATAGCTCATTAAATGTGTCAAAATTATCTATATAAACATTTATACCTATGTAGTAAGCAGGACTGCTCATCAGTGCTTTCTGATAAGTTACAAACTGTAATAAAAACATTTCCAACTAAAGTAACTGCATCACAGAAGGGATTCTTGCAGCATGAAAAAGACCTGCATTAAGAAAAGCAGCTTTTTGGTTTTGGAGTTAATTATGAAAATTCAGGCTTACTCTTGATGCCACAGCTGACATGCATTTCTTCTGGCAGCAGTGCCAGCTTCAACAAGCATTTATCCCTATATGACAGCTCTGGACATTGCTGTGCTGTGGGTGTCAGCATGAGAGGAAAGAGGTCAGACCAGGGCCTCCTGGCAGCCCCTTGAACACCACTGCTGCCTGTGGGGGACAAAGGCTCTGGGCTCCCCAGTTCTTAGAGGGTGCAGCCACTGGACACTGCAGAGCCTTCCTGTACTTCTGAACACCTGGTGACTGAAAGGCTTGTGAATATGTTAAGACTCAGAAAAAGGTGACTGCTAATCCCTCATCCTTCAGTGTAAGAATTACTTGCTATTGAAGCAGGCTACCAATGCTCATAAGCACCAACGCTCACATCACGCTGCCTTTACAAATGTCCTCAAATAGTGTTCAATCTCAACAAGAGCACTCATCTCTGACTTTAATGGTATTCATCACATACTTCAAGCATGCATGTAGCTTAGCACCTTCTTAGGATGTGTTCTGCATGATAGAAACAACAATTCCATGCATAAATGTGATCTAACTTACTACTAATGGGGTTTTAAATATGTGTTTGAGGTCCTTCCAAAACCTTTGAAGTAAAGCCATAAGAGCGTAGATTCTTGTGTAAGACAGAAAGAGTAGGAGATATTTCTATCCATGCTGGAGCTTCTTTTGTTCAACATATTCACAAAATATCTGACAAGAGGACAGAAAATTTTCCCTATGATATGAAGCTATTTAGAATGAGAACTATGAGGATTCCAGAAAGATCTTAAGAAAATGAGTGACTAAAAAGGTGAATAAAAAGGTGAATAAAAAGGTGAATAAAAAGGTGAAATGCCTTCAACACAAATTCACTCAAAGCAAGAAGAAAGGGAAAAGCAATCCTAATTTCACATCTAAAATGGCAGACTTTAGTTGACCATTGGAGCTTAGATACAGTATCTCAGGGTTAAAATAGCCAATTCCATGAAAATACCAGTACAATGATCAGCAGCAGTGTAAAAAAAACAAACAAAAAAAACACCCAAGAGTAGGTTAACAGACTAATAATAGTTAGAAAGGAATAAAGGACACAGAAAACATAATTATGACACGTGGTAAATCTATGGTTCTCTTATATCTTGAACAGCATTTCACAAGCATACAGTAGAGTGGGAAGATTTTAGAAAAACCAAAGATCTAATTTACACATGAAGAACAACTGAGCAGGGTAGGATTTTTGAACCTTGAACAAAGAATATGAGATGAGGAGGAGTGCCTGACAGAGGTCTACAAAAACATAAAGGGCACGAAAGGGTTTGACAACTACCAATGTCTCTTGGTATGCAGTTGGGAACATTACACTAAACCAAACCAGTAAGAGATAGATTCAAAACAAAAACCACATTTCTTACCAGGATAAACACAGACCTATCAAGGAAATGCCAGAAGACAGCTGGGGATATTGGTAAAAACAGATCTCTGGCTTGAGCCAATACAGGCTCTTTTCTGTCTTTGATAATTACAGACAATAGTTACTGTAGGTGTATGCAGTATAAACCATACCTGAATCCACTCCTGCTGTTTAGCATCTCCTTTGCTAGCTTTGGCTTCAAAGCCTTTCCCACCATATTTCTGGTCTTCACTTACACACTTGATGTGTTCCTTATAGTCATCACCCCTGGGTAGAAGAGATTTTTAACCACAGGTCACTGAAACACTTCACTCCTCAAACTGTGCAACATTTAGCCAACCAAAAAGCTGAAGTAATAGATTAATTAGATGAACAGATCATTTAAACCTTATTACTGTCAACGTTTAAATTATTAAAATGTGATGCGCTTAAAGTACATGCTTGTAAGACCACAGGCATTTCTGTCATGCTACAGCTTTCACTGAAAATTTCTGACTTGCATCTCTTGCATTTGTGACAAGAGTGAGCAAGTGAGTCTGCAGAGTGAGCAAGGTAATTTCCCATTCTTTACATACCAGAAATCCTTGCCACAATCCATGCAAGACAGGCACTGACAGTTTCTGCAGATGTTCACATGCTTTTCAACCTGTGCTTTCTTCACGGCTTCTCCACACGCATTGCACGTGAAAACCACCATGGTGGCGAGCGGTCAGGAGCCTCTTCCTTCCCACAGAAGCGCAGCTCTAGGAATACAAAAAGAAGATTATCTTAATTTACAGCTTGAAAGAAGCACCTGGAGGGCCGAAGTGAAACACACCCGTGCACACACTGACGGCCAGGGTGAGCAGCGCGGTGCAGAACGTGCAAGAGTTCCTGCCACCTGATACCCTCCGTGAGCGCAGGGGAGAGCAGTACCGGGAACCAGCAATCCCTGCATCCGCCACGCCAGCAGGGAACCGGTAACGCCCGAACCCATCACCCGAACCCGGTAACCCCCGAACTCGGAACGGTAACCCCCATACCCACCACCCGAACCCGGTAACCCCCGAACCCATCACCCGAACGGAGAAACCACCTGTAACTCCTGCACCGGTGACCCCCGTACCGCACCCACGCCGATACGCGCAAGCGGCGTTCCCGGTCCCGCTCCCTTCCCCTGCGGGACCGCGCCGCTCCATCCCGCTCCCCGCAGCTGCGCACCGGTGTCGGCCGGGCCCCGCCGAGCGGTAACGCTGAGGGGTGACCGGGCCGCACGGCTTGGGAAGCTCGGCGTGGCCGCCAGCCGAGCTCCTGGGCGGCAGCAGCCGTGCCGTGCCGTGCTGTGCCGCTCCCGTTCCCGTTCTCCTCCCGCTCCCGTACCCCTTCCCCCGCACCTCAGCAGCGGCCGCCGCCGCCCCGCGCGGCACGTGCCGCACCGGCCCCTCCGGCCTCGCCGCCCCGCGCCTGCGCTGCCGCCGCCGCGCGCCGGAACGGGAAGGGGAAGGGGAACGGGAAGGGGAAGGGGAGGGAGCGGCGGCGGCGGAAGCGGCCGATGGCGGGGATGGAGCTGGGAGGTGGCCGGAGCCGGTAAGCGCTGGGCTGGGCAGGGCCGGCTCGGCTCGGCTCCTGCCTCTGGGCCGCTGTCTCACCCGTGCCGGGCCGCGCCGCGTTCTTCCCCTCCCGGGGCTGTGTGTCCCGGGGCTCCTCCCGCCCCGGCCCCGAGCCCGCCCCGGCCCCGGACAGAGCCGGCCCGCAGTGAGGCAAAGCCTCCCTCTGTACTCTCCTCCGTGCGACACCTCCAGCCTGGGCTCACCTGGGCGAGGCTGAGCCGAGCTTGGCCATAAATAGCGGCTGTGCCGGGGGTTCCTGCTCGGGAGCGGCTCCCCGTGCCCGCCGGCCCCGAGGGGAGACACGCACCTGATGGATGAGAGGCACTTCGCTGTCAAAGTAATTGCAGGGTGCCGTGGTGGGAGATGTTCCCAGGGAAAGCAAATTGATGTGCTTTCTTTATTTAAAGCCTGGTCAAAACATGCTAAGCATTAAGAGAGAAAAAGCATAATAAAATACCACCCCCCATCCCGCCCATGTAATACCAGAAACAGGGAATCGCAGAGTAAAACAGCATAAATTTACGTGAAACCCTTTTCGTTCATGGGATTTGAGAATGGGTTGACCACTATCTGGTCATGCTTAACAGAAGGTGGTTTTCCTAATTCATTCATTAGAATAGGAAGGTTTTCCTCCATTATTCCTAGTTAGAAGACTAAAAATTCTGATTGTCCTTATAGTTGGAATTGTTATGTTTACAAGTGCACAGGGGAAGCATTACATCCTTGTTAGGGAAAAAAAATAAAAGGAAATATAGAATGCAATGTAAATGTGTTGTGTTGGAATGCAACTTGTCTTTTCAACCTGTTAAGAGGGGATTTTTTCAGTTAGTTATTACATTGTATTAAAAACAATACTATGCCAATGTGTCTAATTAATCAGATCCATGGTGGAAATGTAGGTAGCTAGAACAGCAACAAATGCCTGAAATAATACTAGTACTATATTCTCCCTTTGGAGTTTAGAGGCTGAAGAAACTGAGGTTTTCCTCTACAAATGCTACTGATTTTGTACATGCAATGTGTCTTTTGCATTATAATCTAATTATTGTGGGAGTTGTCTGAATTAGGGTGCATTTTTTTGTGGTTATGGGGTCCAGTTTATTGGCAGCACCATTAGCTTTTTGCAGAGGCTCTTTGTGGTAAGCAAATCTCTGTTAAAGTCAGTATTTCAAATGTGTATGGCTGTGTATCTGTTGGTGAGCAATAATGTGACTCCAGCCAGAAAAATGTCATTAGTGATCAAATTGCAGGTCTAAACTGAAGTCTGCTTCCTTTGAAAGCTAAAATAAATTGTTAAAAATGTTCTTAATATTTTAAATTAATTTTGCAATTTAATATTCACCTCAGGATTTTATTTCATTATAGGTAATTTAGGTGGTTTTCTAGCATGGACACTGTTGCTAGCCATAGCTGTCATCTTCTGCAGCAGCTACATGAACAGCGCATCCAGGGGCTTCTCTGTGACTGCATGCTGGTGGTCAAGGGTGTCTGCTTCAAAGCACACAAGAATGTGTTAGCTGCTTTCAGTCAATATTTCAGGTATGTGATAGAAAATTCTTCTGTTTAAAAGTTAGCTAAATGCTGTTGGCTGAGGTTTTCTCTGAGAAGGCTGTTTTTTTCTGTTGGTCGCAGGAACTCTTGGGAGTATAAGGAAAAAGGGAAAATTGTTTGTCCAGAGATAAAGTTGTGTCAAGTATTCACAGTATGCTCTTCTTGATTTATTTGTTTATAGTGCTTCATATAATAGGTTCTGGCATGGACCTGCATTCAGTATTTCTCCAGAAAAAGATAACTGCTTACAAGGAACATAGTAGAGTATATGAACAGAGCCAAATAATGGATAGAATTGATAAAACATTATCCATTTCCAAATAATGGGACTTGTTTGATCAGTCATATTCGAAATAAAATGTGCCAATATAGTTTATTGGTGAATCTCTGCTTACTCAGATTCTCAGAGACAACAACTGTGTTTTACAGGTGGCCCATTGCACCACATCACTGCTTTCTTACTCTTCTGTACTGCCCTCAACAGTGCCTCCAAATTTTGGAGGGTGCTGGCTCTCCCAGCTTAGTGTTTTATATTAGTTATGAGTAAGCTGTTAGATCTGGCAGTTTTTAGACCTTGTTTTTTGAAACATCTCTAAAGCTTGACTGCTAATTCATTTGTAAGAAACCTACTTGTTATGACCAGAAAAAAAAGATAAGAGGTTCCTTTTTCTCCTCTAGAGCTGTACTGCTGATGAAGTGCAATTATGCTCAAAGACCAAATTTTTAAAGTAGTTAAAAAGAACTAAGAGCTCAACTCCTATTAAAGTTCAATAGGATATAAGTGGCTAATTAATTTAGGCTCTCAACACAGATCTGTTCATTATAGTTCTGGTTTTAATTTAGATAGGATAGTCTAGATTTATGAAGGAATTTGGATGTGGGCACTGGCTTCAGAGTATCCGCTGCGTTTGTGAAGTTTTAGCATAGACTCACATTTTGTTAAGATTTAGAGCTCATTCATATCATGCCCTCCTTTAACCAAACCCAAATCTGAGATTTAGCCCACAAAGAGGAACCATTAAGTTTGGGGCATTTTTTAGTGTAGGAAAGTAACTACATAAGAGTGACCTGACCGCATTTATATGTCATTGTTTACTGTGAGAGTATCAGGATTTTCATGGGTCCAGAGTTTTTGACTGAAAGAGAGTATGAACTCACTTTATCTAGGACTACTTGTGCATGTGAAGAACTACATCTCTGATGCTGAGAATACTTTACATCCAACAGTAAGAACTTTTGTGAATTCATGCATTTTAAGGATTCAGTGACAATTCTGTGGGTATTGGTTTTACTGCTGTTTTAGGATTATGTATCTGTACTCTTCATTATCCTTTTACTTGGTTCTTATCCAGTACCAGTAAAAAAGTCCCTTTTTAGATAGGAGAAAATAAATTGAAAATAATGCCATCTTCTTGTTAATATTTCCATCCTCTTGTGTATTTGTGGAGAAAGAACTAGTGGTAAGACCTTTGATAGGCTTACTGATGGAGTTCAATGGACAAACTCAGTTGCCAGAGGAGAAGAGTTTGGCTGACTTTGAGATCTGTCTTCTCCATTTTGCTAGAAAATTTATGTCCTGTTTAATCTGCCATGATGAAAGGAGAAAAACCATTCTGAGTCAACCAGTTCTGCAAATTGTCCATAAATACACCACTGCACCTAATATGTGATGAACAGTGGATAAGAAACCATAAGTACAGGGTGTTATGTGAAAACATTAAAAAATACAGAATTAAAGTTAGATAAAGGATCATTTACTTTGATTTATATTTCAGGTACACTAATGTAGGACTAGTATATAAGACAAGTAATTGAGCAATTTTGAGAAATTCATCATCAAAAAAACAGCAATCTTTAGAGTACAAACTTGTTTCATACCAAGCAGCCTATATGAGATGTATGTATATTTTTCTATGTATGGGAATTATTTGTGTTTGTGTTTGAATATTTGCCTTATTTTATCAGGACCCTTTTCCAGAATTCTTCAGGCCAGAAGAATGATGTGTTTCACTTGGACATCAAAAACGTAGGTGGCATAGGCCAGATCCTGGACTTCATGTACACCTCCCACCTGGACCTTAGTCAGGACAACGTACAAGCTATGCTGGACATTGCACAGTGCCTCCAAGTGCAAAATGTGCTGAACATTTGCCACACCTTTTTAAAGTCTTCCACAGCTGTGGAACAGGCAGCCAGCATGCCATGCAACAGTGTGTTTTCACTGCAGAACACTCTGGGTACAGATACCAGCTGTGCTGGGGATGCCTATGGGACAAACCTATTGCCTGAGTGCTCAGCTGACAGACAGACTAACAAAGGCTTGGCTGAGCAGAACTCACAGTCTGTGAATCTGCACACCCCATCAGGTGATGGACACAAACCACCACAAGATTCCTTAGATGGCAGCTGCACAGAGCTCCCATTTAAACAACCAAATTATTACTATAAACTGCGCAACTTCTACAGCAAACAGTTCTACAAACAAAACGCTTGCTCTGATCACGAGAGAGGAGCAGAACCAGCCTTTTCTTACAGCACATCCACGGAAATAAACACAGTGCAGAGTAATTCTTGCACTGTCAATCACTCTGAGTGTATTCTGGAAACCTCTGAGCATTTACCATCAAACTTCCTGGTTCAGTCTGCAAGTGAAGCTGCTCCAGACCAAAATGCAGAGAGCACGGTTGTGCAGCCCACCAGACAGATGCGGCTGAAAAAGGCAGTGCACCTCAAAAAGTTAAATTTCCTAAGATCTCAGAAATCAGCAGAGCAGCCCCCTGAGCAGCCCCAAAGAGATGACAGTAGAATAACAGAAGTAATTGAACCTGTAAATGAAAGTGCCACGGACACAACAGATGTTAGAGTTACTGATGAAAAAGAAGCTGAAGATTTAATGAATTCAGAGAATTTTGAACAGACTGTTGAAATGGAAAGATCTCAAGGTCCTTTGGAACAAGAAGGACAATCACAGACTCTTCAGTCACAGAAACAATATACTTGTGAGTTATGTGGGAAGGCTTTCAAACATCCAAGCAATTTGGAGCTACATAAAAGGTCTCATACAGGTACAGTTATCAGTTACTTGGTCTGCAGACCAAATATTTCAGTTACACAGAATATCTTGCAATGTCTCTTGATTTAGAGGTGCTGGTTAAGGGTCTACTTTCAAAAGGCTGTGGTTTTATTTTGTTGTTTTGTTTTTTTTTTTAATGGGTAATCTTACAGAAATAAAGAACTGTAATACCGAGTTTTGCTGGGAGTTGTAGAAAAGATTTCTATGTATTTGAGGTGCTTTTTCAAAGAACATCGTGTGAATTTGATGAAAATGAAATTTCAATGAAAATTTTGTTTTTGTCCTGCATTTAGATGAGTCATTTCTAGTCAGTTTGTCAGGTGGCCCAGATGTTTGAGCCAGATGGCAACAAAAGGTGCAAACAAATAAATGGTACTATAAGTGTACTAGAATATGTCTGTTCTCTCTGGTCATATATTCATTGTAAGATGCAAGTAATTGGGGCTTGGTAGTCATTTTTTCTTAATCTGTATAAATATGCCTTATAACAACTTTAATTGTGTTTACCTACAGAATAAGGCTCTTGCAGGCTGCAGAGTAATTGGGAATTTTGAATTAATGTACTTTGTTTTAAAAACTCACAGGTAATATTTTTAAACCTAACATAGATTTATTTCTAAGTATCTTTTTATTCTAGTGAAAACAAGCCTTAGTTTAACTGCAAATTATTTAATTTGTCTGTTCAATTTAGTGACCATGTCCTTTTATTAGATATGCTTCTTTAGAAGAGTTTTTAAAAATTACCTTGGCTAGGCAGGTAACACCATTGATTCAAACTCCTTGAGATGGTATTACTCCTGGTTAAGCTGTTGAATGTTTTTTGTTTTTCTTTTTCCCTGTATTAAATATACAAATGCATCTCTCTCAATCTTGTCAAATAAACATCATTTTGAAATGATCATGTATTGGTACTTTGACACTAAATATGAAACTCTGTTAGCAGACATTAATTTATTTTGTCAACTGATCCTTAGAATTAAAAGTTTCTTCTTCTATTTTATTAATGGAAAAATCTTCCCAGAACCTGAAAATATGAACATTTTGCATTAGCTTCCTGAAATTTTCAATTGTTAGCTTTAACTGCTTCTATATGTTTATGTTGCTAAGACTTTTTCTAAAATTTGTTCTCCTGTGGAAGAGTTGCATATGTCTCTTACTCAGATCCTCTTTTTGCCTTGTATTTTTTTGAATCTTATCTGGTTTGACCTGGTATCATCAGGTCTATTTTAATATCCTAGATTTTCAGGAAAACAGATGATCAGATAGAAGACAAGAGCATCTAGAAAAGTCCCAGCTAACTGCAGTAACATGTTAGTTTGTGCTAGAGAGACCCCAGCATTCAGGAATTCTCAGCTGCTTTTCACATACCATCTTCTTCCAGTAGTTTTCAAAAATTCCAGACTTGAATGCTAGTTAATAAAGCATTAGCATTCTTCTATGGATGTGCTAAGATGACAAAAGTGTAAGAGCCTAAGTTTAACAAATACCAAGCACATCAAAGGATGGAAAAACTGAAGAAAGGATATCACTAGAAATGCCTGTTTGCTTCCTTCTTATTTTTGGGAATTGCTCCCTGTTATTCATGTTAATTCTTTTTTTAAAATACCCAACTAGTGCAAAAAGAGTGTTTGGGAAATTGCAGTGGATGGTGAGTAGGATGTTGATATTGGAAAGACCTGTAGCAGAAGGTACAGGGCACATCTGTGTTGTTACTGTGAGGTACACTGGTAGTTAAGTAATAAAAGTGTATGCTAAATGCCATTTCTATGCATCTGCCACTTCAGAAAGGATAGCAGATTTCTAGCTATCGATTTTATTTAAAAACATTAATTTTCTGGAGCTAAGCAGAAGGGTTAGCAGGCATTTAAGACTTACAGAGCTCACTGAAAGCCCTCCCAGTACAGCTTTCTGAAGAGATGGAGGAAGCTGATGTGATTTTTAACCCAAAAATGACAATTCTTTCAACACAAGTGCTGTGGTGGTCTGGTTGTCAAGAAAAAGCACATGTGAAATTCTCTGCTCCCGAACACTAGGAACTACTAAAGAATTTACAGGTTAGCATGGGTGCATTGATGAGCTTTCTATGTGAAGGCAGCCAAACTGTGTTCAACAGTCATTGTGCTGGCATGTCTGACTGTTTTATTTGTATTATTATCATGAACATTTAAAGGAATCTCTGAACAGAGCTTACTGCACTGACTTTGGTTGATTTTGACTGAATGTTATAATTTCTTCTTTATTATTATATTGACTTGTCTGAAAAAAAGGAAGCAAGTCTATCTCCTTTATATAGACCATACTTGTCCAGAAACATCCAGTGGTTTTGTTGGGGTATTTTATGTATTTTCAGGGAACATCTCAAAAGAGCAACCCAAAACAAACTTGGGCCAATGGAAAGAACTCTTGGCAGGTTGGAACAGGAACAGAGTAGCGCTGCCGTGTAATACAATACGTTGTTGATCCTCAACCTTTTCATTCTGAGTTTTGCTTAAGCAACTTCCAGCATTCCTTGCCTTAGTGAGTACAGCTCCTCACCTTTGTGATCTCATCAGGAACACCACTTTGCCTCCATGCCTTTCTCCTCTGGAGCTGACACAACACTGCTCTGATCACTGTTGTGTACTTTATCTTCACCTCTTCTTGCAGAATATTGAACAAGAAGGGATGAAACAGAAGGTAGAAAGTATATGGCAGCTGAAGGGTTAAAAGTAAAGTCCCTGCATTAAGCACTGTCTAAATTGTATTCAGTTACTGCTTTTCCCCAGTTTTTCTCTATTGCTGTTGATCCAGCCATGTATCCCACTATTGTGTACTTTGTCTTCTTGCAGGGTGTTGAACAAGAAGGATGCAATCCTGGTGTTCTCAGATGAGGTTTTTGGTTTGGAATTTATTGATGGTTGTAGAATCATAGACTAATTTAGATTGCCTTGGGTCTCCTGAGGTAATCTGCTCCAGGTTCCTGCTCAAGGCACATCAAATTAGATCATGTTGTTTTCCTCATGACCTTGTGTAGTGAACATTTTGGACATCTCCAGAGACAGAGTTTCCACAACCTCTCCAGACAATCACTCCCAGTGTCTGACCACCCTCATGGGGTAAAATATTATTTTCATGTATCTAATTGGAATTTGTCATGGTCAAACTTGCATCTGTTGCCTCTTTTCCCAAGACTGTATACCAGGAACAACCTGCTTGCATCTGCCCTCCCAAGCCTGTAGCCAGCAGTAAGATTTCCTGTGTGCCTTCTTTTCTTAAGGGTCCAGATATGGTCTTACCAGTGACAGGCAGAGAAGAAGAATCTTCAGTTTATTAGCTGCACTCTTACTAATACACCCTCAGGTCCAGTGAGGCTAATTGCCTCTGAGCAATAGGTTACTTGATAAGCCCAGTGGTTTGGAGTTCCATGCAAGTGCAAAATTGTTGTCCAAAAAGTCATTTGATGTTTCTTTTTCAAAAAACCTCTGTTTTTTTTATCTTTATCTTGTGGGGGGAAAACCTCCAATTGTTTGTACATCAGTACAGTTAGAATGAGGCTGCATGCAGCCTACAATAATTGTTTGGAGAAATTTGAGCCTCCAATTCCTTCCTTCTCCCTCTAGTCATTTCAGAGTGGATTCCTGTTCAGATACTATTCTTTTGGTCTCCAGTGACTTCTTTTTTGTATATTTAATTTCTGCAAAAATTGCTTGCTATTGTTTTTTTTATCCTCCGTTTCATATTATCTTGATGCTTTTATGGCTTTCAGAATCCTTCCCAGTTGCTACAGATCTGGCTCCCTGTTGGTTTCATTTACATTTGTGTTGTCAGTATCAGAATTTTTAGTATTTTGCAAGTTTAAAATCGTAATGAAATCAAGCCTCAGGGCTCTTCAGAGTTGAGTGACTTTATAGTTGATTTACTGCTTTCATAATTTTTATCTTTAATTGAAAGAAAGCTTTAATAAAACTGCAAGATTTCCATTCTTCATTAAGCAGACAAAGTAGATAAAGCCTCAAGCTGTCAGACTAACTGCAAGGTTGCAATCTGTGAAGCAACATAACTGTGTGTTTACTCTGTGTTTTAAATCTAAAGAGAATTGCATTTAGTCCTTGATCCTAAAATACGTTGGAAGAACTTCATCTGTATTTGGCAGGAGGAAAGGGAAATGGAATTCCCACACCTGGATGTGGTAGATGTTGCTTGTAACATTTCCAAGGATGGAGGAAAAATATTGATGTAAAGAATACTTAATGGAAGAGAAGCCAAGAGCTGCTCTGTAAAATCAGGAAAATTAAAATTAAAGAAGTAAATAAAAGTCTTTGTACAGATTTTTTTAATTGTGATCAAGATGAAACACAGCTTAAGATCTCTTTTTTTCCCTTTGGAAATATTCTGTTTTCAAAATGGATTTACACTGGTTTTGTTGCCCTGCACATGTGCCCTGCACAAATGTCCTTTAAATGTGCAGTTAGACTCATGAAAGATGATGATAAGTGTGACTGCCATTGAATGAATGGAATTTGAGCATCATTTTTGTTTTTAACATTCTAAAAGATGAATTCTAAAATTTTATCAACAGTGTAAAAACTAGGAAACCAGGAACTAAGCAGGGGGAATAAAAAAACACCTATATGAAATACTATAGAGGAGAAAAAGTTTTTACAAAAACATATTTGTCTTAAATTAACAGCAAGAGAATTGTTGTACAGTCACATTCTAGATTGAGAGTCAAGTTATTTTGGAAAGCTAAAGTGAGCTACATCAGTTTTTACTAAAGTTGCTAATCTGTTTTTAGAGATTCAAGGATAACAGTTTTACATGTATAAATTCAGAATTTTGGAGCAAAATACTTGGGTAATCTTCAGGTACTTCTATATAGGATGAGAATTTGAAGGCAAATATATATATTTTCTGGAATGAATGGTTATGTGCTGAGCAGAGATATATGGTAGACATTAAAACCAGGAAACACAATTCTTCCAAATTAGCTTCCCTTTATTCCTCCTTCTTTTTAAGAATGTGCAAGTGAAAAACAAGTGCCCTTCCCATCACTGTTGTTGCTGGGCCTTGTCTTCTATTCTGTTTTTCCTGGTGTTATGATACTCCTTTCATTTAGAATCAAAAGTATTTTTAAAATATTAAAACCTGCACCCATTCATATCAAAACTCTTCTACTTGTTTTGAAAGATAAATTCTGAGCAAGTGTGCCTTACAAACTCAGGGGTAAAAGCTGTATTTCCCTCTTGAATTTCCCCTTAAATAGATGGGTAAGTATCCTTTTGGGGATATTTTTTACTCTTACAGTACATGTTTTAAAAGGAAGTGTACCAATTTTAAACATTTCTGTTCTACTGCAACTACTAGAATTAGAATTTTAAACATTTCTGTTCCACTGCAACTATTAGAATTATTACTATGTTTCTTCTTTTAGGTGAGAAACCTTTTGAATGTAACATTTGTGGGAAACACTTCTCACAGGTGGGAATATTTTATATATTATGGTACTTACACTTGAAATGCATCTCTGTGTTGATTCTAAAAGTCTTGGGTTTAAGATTAGATTTTTTTTTTTTTTTTCAAAGACACAATTCACTCTAGGGATAAATTATTAAAATGTCTTATATGAAAAAAACATGTTGAATGTTTTAGATGTCTTTGATTCTGTCTGCTCTCAGTAGATGTGTTGTGTATTTTACATTCAAATGAATGTTTAAGTATACAGAGCCACAGCCATATTTGAAATACGAAGAACATTAATTTCCAAACTGTTCTTTTGCTTTATGCTTAAAGGTATGTTGTGAATAGCATTTTTACAGTGTCTGAAAAAAGTACAGATTCAAGTTTTATGTAATAATGTATTCACAATACAGTTTCATCTTCCTAAATGGCATAAATGATTAAGTAGATTTGAGTCAGATAAAAAGAATTTGTATCCATATATGTGGGCTCAGTTTCTTTCAGTGAGAAAGAAACCACTACCTGTTGGAAGTGACAAAGCTCAGCTATGATTTAAAAAAAACTTCTTGTGAAATTGCATACTTACATATAGGGCCTAAGCTTTAGCTGCTTTATTGGCCCTCCAGTGTTTGCTTCCTATTCTGGGTGCAACAATTAATTTGTATTTCCACAAGGTTGGTGCCTAGTTGTCTCACATTTCCAAAATCTCTATTTCCTTTCTGATTTCGTGGTTGAGAGGTGCACATGTAAGAACAGCAGACAATAAACAGGTGCATATTTTTATACTAAGATTACATAATTATGCTTGAATAGCCTTGGCATTTCTTATGGGTGCTGGTTTAAGCATTAGAGCTGTGTGCTTTTAGCCTACCCACCCACCACTGGTTGTGCTGCTCTTGCTTCAGTTTCCCAGCCCACCATGGGCCTTGTTTGACCCATGAATCTGATGCCTTTGTGTCCTACACCTCGTTGCCAAATGTGAATATAAGACTGCATCCAGTGAACAATACTGTTTCATCATGCTTATTGGGCAATTTTCAGCAAAACTGGGCATGATTTCTTTTAAGCAAAAAGCAGCATTTTCATTCATTTTGATGGCTGAACTTCCAGCTATTAAAAGAAAAACATGGATATTTCTAATTCCATTAAAATTACTTTTGGCAAATAGAGTGGTATTTACTACTACAGTGGGGGAAGAGGTGGGAAGTGTCACACAGTGTTTGACAGGCATGACAGACTCCTCATGCAGTGTGCTTTGCTCCTCTTTAATTACAGAAACAAACAAAACCCCTGACAAAGCTGGAAATTTCTGCCTTTTAATTAAACCCTCCCACACAGCTTCCCTTCCCTCCCTGTGACCTGGCTGGCCTGAAGGGGCAGGCAGACACATGTCAATCCCTACATAGAGCCAGAGCACTCAGCCTCTGGGCTGCAGCTCTTTCTCTGCTCATAGAGGGGTCTGAGCTACTTGCTTTTGAGTCCTGCAAATAAGATTCCACTCACCAGAAAGTAAGATGCAAGGATAATTACTATCTACTTTTTGCTTAAAATACCATCTCCGATCTTGTCCTTTATCTCCTCTGTCTGCAGGCACAGAAATAGAAACACTTTTCTTATTTAAGCCTTCGTGTTCTGTGCCTGTGAGACAGTGCAGCTGTTGGGCCTGGTGGGATGTCTGCCCCTGCTGAATGTAGCTGATGGGCTGTGTGTTGGAGTGTGGAGCAGAAAATGAAAGTAGGGGAAATTGATGTGGGAACTCATAGTTGGGAACAAACAGCCATCAAAGTCTTTGATTTTTGAGGAAAACATTCCTTTTTTACTTCCAAGCCTTCATCTTCCCTTATTGCTTGTACACAGCTTGTTGTGATGTGAGCCCTCTCAGGCAGGTGATCCAGGATATTGTGTTTCACCTCCTCCTGCAGAGGTTCTTTTGGGGGCCCAGGTATATAAGGTGCTTCACTTTGAAAGCTTGCCATTTACAAAAGGACTAAGTCTGATCCAAATTTAGGGGGAAGTCTATGCAACCATTTCAAGGATTCTTCTGAACATTGTTTTTCTTTCACTGAAATGCAAGCAGAAATCCCCTTAGTTTTTTTTTCCATTGGGATGGCATGTGATGCTTTAACCAAGGTTGTGTGCCAGCTTTAAAGCTTAAGAAAGAATACAAGCTATTGATGTTTTTACCATTTTTTGTCTTAGCACAGATAATAACAAGCTTTGCCCTCATTAGGAGGAAAGGACATATGCTTGTAATAAAGAAATGGATCTACTTGCTGCTTTCTGTAAAATGTTTTTATTCTTACTTTATATGCCTTTGTGGGAAATTGTTGTTGCACTTCAAATTCACCCTGTGTCTTTATTTTGAATAACTTTCAAATGCCCCTGATAGGGTTTGTTTGTGACATGGATAGAAGTAAAGGTGCTTTTTTTCTGTATGTTTTTCTTAAATGCACTGTGATATAAAATCCCTTGTCTTTGAAAAGCAAAAATTATTCCATGATTCATCTTCTTCTTCCCCAGAAATAAGTACCTAATGCCTCTCTTTGAGTAGATTTCAGTATTAGAAAGTTTGGCCTTAGAAAACAGTCGTTCAGTCACACTGTTTGAAAAAGTGTACAGGGATTAAAGAAAGCTCTTTCAGGGTTCCCACATTGATCCATTCAATACTGTCCTCTGTGTGTGTGTGTGTGTGTGTGTGTAGTACTTGAGTTCTGGGATATTATGCAGTCTGATTACAGTGATAGATCATAACAGGTAATTTATTGTCTAAATGGGTCAGAAGGAATTTGTCTGGGTCTAATTTTTGTTATCTTACTGTGACTGATGAGGACATGGTAATCTTTGCATCCCAAATTTTCTTTCCCAGTGTAAAGGACTTGATGTATCCTTAGATAAATAAAAACCAGGCAATTAATCAATCAGAAAGGTTTAAAAACTGACTGTGGAAGTGTGCACCACGTATGAAACATCGGCAGCTCTTCTACAAGGTGTGTCCTGTGCTTTGTGAGCTGGACTCAGTGGAGTAGCCATTGACAAGGACTAGTGGCTTTAAAACATTTCAAAAAAAGTTGGACTCAGTAAGAAGATTGTACCTAGTCATTGTCTGGCTTGCTGGCTAGACTAGCAACTAGCATGATTTTTAGAGGATTGAGAGAGGAAAGATATGTAACAAAATGGTTAGCAGTAGTCCCATTTGTTCTTTTCTGTACTTCCTATTCTGTTTTATTTAGGTATGAATAAATAATTTCAGGTTTGGAGCATCTGAGTATTTTATGGATAGAAAAATTCTCACCCTATTCTTTTCTTTTTAACCACCTGGTAGGTGAATTTAGACATCCTTGTGTAACAATATTTTATTTGTAGGACAGGGAAAGTGAGACTGACATGAACCATATTGCTAGTAAGTTAGTAAGTTTTCTTTTTCACTGCATTCTAGATAGTGTAATCTTCATTTATAATTGGATCTGCTTTCAATTATAGGTCTTTCTTTTCTCTTAGCATTTGATTTCAGGCTTCTTGTTTTTATTTTTTTCCCTATTTCTCTTCTTGTCAATGGATAATTGCATACATAAACAATTTGAAGTACATGGTGGTCTGTCTTTACTAGATAAGAGTGCTTGAGTTCATACATGCTTTGTAGTCTTCACTGCCTTAGAAGTAGGAATAAAAAGCCAGTCTCATAATTCCCATCATTATTTTTTTTTATCTGTATACAGCAACAGGCAAGCTGAATTTAAATATTTAAATGTTTAAATTGCTCTCCCTTCAGGCAGGTAATCTCCAGACGCATTTACGTCGACATTCTGGTGAGAAGCCATACATTTGTGAAATCTGTGGCAAAAGGTGAGTAGAATTGTTCATCTTAGTAAAGTTAACATGAAAGAATTTGTTAATGTTTTCTGCTGATCTTCATGATAAACTACAAGCCAAGTGCTAAGGCAGCATGCTGCTCAGTTCTGTTTAGAAGATGCTGGTTTAAATGTGTGCTGGTGGGATTAAAATACATAAATGTTTGCAATTGACTTGTTGTAAGATAATCACTGTCACCCGAGCTTGTGGTCTAAATTTTTTGTGTATTGGTGTGTAGGTAAGAATAGCATGGAGTGTATTTTGTTGTGTTATATGTATTGTGTTGTATATTGTTGTGTGTATTTTGAATGGTGTGAGTCACAATAAATCATGTGGGTTTGTACCTTTCCCTCACATTTTTGTCATTATTTGGTGATACTTTCTTTTTTTACGTTTTATGAAATTCTGAAGTGTGGGAAATTTGGCAAATTTAAGCAAAGCATTAAATGAGTCTGCTAGCTAACAGGTGACAGAAAATACACTAATGCAGGAATAGCATAAAATGCAGAATGAATTAGTAACATTAATAATGTAAAAATAAAATAAAATATTTGGAGGTTTTTTCCTTGCATAAATTTAATTGGGCACTGTCAGTTTAAAAGTGTTTTCTTAATTGCATCAGTTAATCTGTATTTTAGGTCATAGTCCTTGTTCAGAACATCAGGCATTCATTCAAGCCAATTTCCATATGATAGTTTAGGGAAGTAAGGACTTTATAAAGACACTGATTGGGTTTCTGTCTTGTGTTCCAGATTTGCTGCTTCTGGTGATGTTCAGCGTCATATAATTATTCATTCTGGAGAAAAACCTCACCTGTGTGATATCTGTGGCAGAGGTGTGTAAGAACCAAAGCTCCTGTCTCAGGCTTTTTGACTGAAAAGTGAGGAGTCATTTTAATCTCAGTCTGTCATATTTTTCTAGGTTTCAGTAACTTCAGTAATTTAAAGGAGCACAAAAAGACCCATACAGCAGATAAAGTGTTCACCTGTGATGAATGTGGGAAGTCATTTAATATGCAACGAAAATTGGTCAAGCACAGGATAAGGCACACTGGAGAGAGACCATACAGCTGTTCAGCTTGTGGTAAGGTTCACTGTGCATTGCTTGGTTGTGTCTTTGCTTTCCAAATGATGAGTAAAAGTTCCTTTGTCAGCAGAGTAACAATTAATCAAAACTATTTTAAGTTGAAATACCATGTTGTGAAAGTCAGTCACAAAATTTTCTCTTGCATGTTTCATAGTCTTTCATTTGGTGTAATAAACTCCTTTATTGTAAGTTTAAAATAGAATTTCAGTTGAAAATTAGAGAAAGGAATTAGGAAAGTAAGAGGAATTAACATTGGGTGTGTTTGCCAATGTGTTTGCTACAGAGCTGCTCAGAGTAGCTGCTTCAAAAATAGATTTCTTTTCAGAATAGTCCTTTTGATGGGAAGTTAGGATTGACATCATTTGGCTATTGATGGAGTCTTTTATTTTTCCAGTTGCATACCATTTGATTTTAACTCCATTCACCCATAGAGTCTGATAATAACAACCTTTTGCTACTTTGCTTCAGCCTTTGGAATAAAATCAAAACATGATCAATATTTCAGAACACTCATTTTCAAAATCTGTTAGATAGGCCATACTGCCAGGAGGTCTGAAAATGTCTTTTGATCAGGTACATCTTGATCTCATAGGTTACTTGGGATCCTGCACAGTCTGTTGGTGTTTTTTTGCCATTATGTGTTATTTTGACAGAATTTCATTCACGTTCTGAGGAATCAGTTTCACAGGAGGGTAGCTTCCTATGTTCAAATCCAGCTGCAGTATGTTTTATTTGCACTGTCTTAAGGCACAAGAAGAAGTCAATACTGTCAGGAGGCCTTGCATCAGAATGAGGATATAGATACACAGGATACAAAAGTAAAAACAGTTGTGTTGCTGCTATTAAACAGGCTTGTTTTCATTTTGTCTTGTAGTGGTCTTCTGAATATTTTTCATTTGTGCAAAGAGGATCTGGTGAAGCATTAAGAAATCATTCACACTATGCAAAACATCCAGATGTGTTACTCCAGTAATTTTTAATCTTATCATAACTGTTTAATACCAGTGTCTGTTAAATGGTTCTGAAGAGAAATCTGTGCAGCAAAATAAAAAGTATGCTGCTGAAAATTGAGATTGCAGTTGTATTGGGCAGTCATTTAAAATTATTCATTTTAGATGGTCCTTGCAAAATAAATGAGATAAAAATGACGAGCTTACTTTTACTATTTTAAAGAATGTGAGGTGTCTCAATCTTGTGGCAGTTCTGGAAATTAATTATCTCTTTTTCTGCTTGTTCTCCTACACTTTGCCTTGGTTCAGCCTCAGACTCTTTTCTTAGCAATATGGTGATTGAGCTTATTTGAGTCTGTAGCTTTGAAGATAGACTAACAGTTGAATATTTTTCTGTGTTCTAATATTTACAACAATAAAAAATTATAGTTCTCACACATTCTCTGGCCAGAATGTAAAAAAGAACTGCTGCATTATGTTAGCCTAAAGTGAACAAAAAAGCTAACTTTGGCAGCAGTTTGAGAGTAGTTCCTCGGTAATGAACAAACCATTTCTTTCTATGATGCAGCTCTCACTTGAAGAATATATTTAGAAGCTTATCAGCATACTGTTTTTCCAGACAGACAAATTAAATTGATAGTTTAATTTATTTTTTTCTCTGTTAAGATTGAGACAAACTGAGAGCACTCACAGTTTTCAAAGTATTAATGGATATTCCTGTCTCTGGAGACAAAAACTAAACCCATTCATTGGGAAACGCAAGTTAGAAAATCAGATCAAGAAGAAGAAACAAGTTAATGGAATTGTAAAAATAGATGGAACTTGTTTGAACCTGTTCTAGATAAGTGATGGGACATATGATACTTTATTGCTTGATAGTTTTTGTAATTAAAATGTCAGAGCCCAGGAAATTCCCCTGACTGCCGTGGAGGACTCGAGACCCTGCCAGGGGGCTCAGAGACCTCGGCACAGAGCCCAAGACCACCTGTACCTTTGATTTTGACCCATGGAAAAAATTACCAACCTTATATGAGGATTTGCAAGCCAGAGTTTGAGTAGAATGATAGCAAATTTATCACAGGGTGAAAATGTAGAATTTTGGGGTTTTTAGAATGGGGGTTCAGGAGACAAGATGGAGGAATCTGGGCATGTCCAGTCTTTCTCCTTCTTCTTCTTGGCCTCCATCTTCTGCTGTGATGGTGACACTTCTGGATTGGTTTAGGGTAGAGACAGGCTTTCTAACATAGGTGATAGGTATTGGGAAATTATTGTAAATTATGTACACCTAGTTTTTAGTATAAAAGGCAACACTGCCTCCAAGGGTGGTGAACAGACCTCAGCAGGCCAGAGAAAGAATGTTATAGATAAGAAATAAAAAACAACCTTGAGAGCCAGAACAGAAGAATCCTGACTCCTTCTTCGACTGCCGGGCTGGGAGAAGGGACTTGTAGGTATCTTGGGTCACTCTGACCAGCAGAAATCCCAAGACTAAAGCATGTGTACTCACTTGTGTTGGGAGCAGTGTGTGACCCTGTCCTGGTCCCTTGCAGGGAAGTGTTTTGCGGGCTCTGGTGACCTGCGGCGGCACGTGCGGACGCACACGGGCGAGAAGCCCTACACGTGCGAGACGTGCAACAAGTGCTTCACGCGCTCGGCCGTGCTGCGGCGGCACAGCAAGGTGCACTGCAGGGCCCTCGAGGAGCTCGCCCAAGGGATGGACAAGTCCCAGAGCTCTGACTCCTTTGGCCCGGAGATGTCTGTCACATTGCTACCAGTGTCTGTTAAATTTCCCATTCATCCCGCTGGAAGCTCCCCTGAATTCGACAGTTCCGCGGATTCTTACTGTAAGCTGCGATCCATGATCCAGCACCACGACTCGGCAAACGCAGAGAAGCTCGGTGTGGATTCTGGCAAGGCGCTGAAAGGCCAGGCCCAGCCGGCCCCAGCGGCACCCCCAGCGTACGCTTACCCCGAGGTGGATGTGCCTGCAGCAGAGCAGCCCCTGCAGGCCGAGGGCATGGCCCTGCTCCGCCCCTCCGTGGCCGGCCTGGAGGCCGAGCCCCTGGGCAGCCGCGCCTCCTCTGCCGCCTACAAGAGCAACGAGGGCCCCTTCTTCTCCAGCATGACCCTCTGGGGCTTGGCCATGAAAACCCTGCAAAATGAAAGCGAGTTGGAGCAATGAGGGCTCAGCTGGCTGTACCAAAACTTCTCAGAGGTGGTTCATGTGGTTGCGGTTGCACTGCAGCACAGTCAGTTTTTAGGCCAGGTGGCTTGGACACTGACAGGAATCAGAGTGCTTGTTCCCAGAACCACATGTAGGCTGCCTTTATTTACACTGCTTTTTAGCAAAGTTTAAATGCACTGTTGGGGACCTTTGTTGTTCTGTGACTGCACTGTGTAGCCATGATTTACTAAAATTTGCCACCAACTAAATTTACCATTTAACTTGGAATTTTTTTACCTAAAAATTGACGAAAGGATGGCCAGTGTCTAAGTTCATGATATGGGTACAGCTCCCAGCATGGGTCATCAGAGCTGTGGGATGGTGTAGATATGACAGGAGGAAAATGCTTAACCAATCCCTAGTGAATGTGAGTTTCAGTAGTGGCTCTCTTACCAGTAGGGTCATTGGGTTACAGGACTTGAGTATTGTGACATTGAATTTAAATGTTAAATACTGGGCAATATTTGTGATAGTGCAAAGTAACTGAATATCTAGAAACTTTATTTTTTTACAATAAAAGCTTTTTTTTAGTATTTTATAAACTGTTTTGCACAGCAGATTATTTGTAAAATGAAGGCGAAGATCAAGTTGTGAATAAAGAGAAATTGTTTTATACTGCTTGATGTATTTTGTCTTTCTAAGGATTTTCAGTAGTTCCATCTATTCCAGGTATCTTTGCAATGCTAAAGGGGGTACCATCACAAGAAGAGCTTCACTATAAAATAAATGCAATCAATACACCAGTAAGTTGTCTTGCACTTGAATGAGTATAAGACATTGGCTGATTAATGGAATAAATAGACTGTCACAGGATAGAAACATTGCTTAGAAAGGCCTTTTTCTGCTTTGGTGCTTTGAATAGTTGCTGCATTTCAAACTGCTTGCTACAGATACTTTTTTACGTTCTGTGGAAATTTAAAGTTTGGAAAATACAGTATTCTTCTATCTTTTTAAGGTGTTTTTCCCTCCAAGAATTCAAAACTAGTTGTTACATCTCTTGTTGTGTTAACCACCATACACTACAGTTTGGGGCTTCACTTCCTGGCTTCCTTTACTTGGTCCCTGCACCTTCCTGAACTGCTTTCAACCTGAGTTCAAATGAGAGAGTGTTTCTGGCCAGAGTGCAGCACACCTTCAAACAAAAGGGGCAGCCCATTGCAGTGTCTGTGTGAGTCTCAAAAGATACACATTTCTCTCAATAGTCATGTTGAAAAAAACTTTTTTACTACCTTGAGACCAGTTTAAAAAAAATGAGCTGCATTGGACAGCAAGTTGGGATTTTTTTTCACCTTTCTTTTCTTGTAGTGCACATGTACTAGAAAACTTAAAACCACTATTTTTCCAGCCAGTGAAATCAAAATAACAAAGTTTTTGCAGGGTGTGTGTGTGTGTGTGTGTGTGTGTTAAAAATAGCACATAGTCTGGCTGAGCACAGTCCCACATAGATTAAGCAGGGAACACTTTCTACAGGTGAACCCTGAGCTCTCCCCTCATTCTTTGCCTTTTGCATTGTTTGCTTTGGAACACTGCAGTTCCCTGTGGGAATTGCCCATGTGAATTCTACAGTCCAGGTGTTACAGTTCTGACCACGTGTGCTCGTGCTCACTCTCACTCTGCTTTCCTTGCACTGCTGCCTGAGGCAAAATGTGGGTATGTGCCAGTCACCAGCTCTGTAGGTTTCCTCTTGTCAGAAACTATTTTTAAAATTACTTATCCCAAGAGAAAATAGAAATTTGACTCTGTTGCCACAAGGATTTTGTTGCTTGGAACGGATACATCTGCAATTTAAACCTCCTAACTTTTCAGTTGTCTCTGATTCCACAGTGATTTTGCTTTCTCTGTTTTATTCTTGAAGAGTCACTATAGGGTAAGTTTAAATCAAACCATGTTGCCACCTTTGTGCTCTTTTAACAGTATGTTAGAGGTTTGGAGGAATGTGTAAGACTGTCATAAAGGGAAAGTGGCAGCTTGAGATACTCTAAACACATAGATTACATCAGATCATGGATTAGTACCTTGCTTTGTGCCATGAGGGCAGCTCTGTTGCATTAAGGATTATTCCCCTTGCTTGGCAGCATTTCTGTGAGAGTTGTTTCACACCAGAAACATGACAGGTCTCAAAGCTGCCACCAGCCTGGGGTGCTGTCTGCAGTTTGGAGGGTTTGGTAAAACACCACTTTGCAATGTGGTAGCTTTGAGAGGGAAGTGGAGCAAACACTGGTAGGAGGAAACTGTTCCATCTGAGTTTGTGCATCTGGAACCAGAAAAAAGGAGGAGTTACAGCACTGGGAAAGAGCACTAAGAACTGTTGTTTCTAGCTGGCTTGAAAGAAAAGCTGAGCAAGAGAGAAAATTCAAAAGATTAGTAGGTGGATGGAGTCAGATGGAAGAGAATGAATTTTTATGTAAGGAGTAAAAATTTTGGATTAAGAAGCCCCATCCCTGCAGCCACTCTGCAGTGAGAATATCACTGCCTGACTGCAAGAAAATGTATTTTGCTGTTGTGTTTCCAAAATCAGATACAGTCTGTCATGTCAAATTAGTATTGCCTGAGCTTTTGTCAGGGAGACATCAGCAGAAAATGACCTTGGAAGAGGATCTTTGCTGTATCCTAATTATTACCTATGCCAACCTCTAATGAAGAGGATGTTTTGAGTGGGAACAGCAAATAAGGTTTGGCAGTCCTAATGCTGCCCTAAACCTGGCAGAGCTGGAGAGGAGCAGGGACCCCTGTGGCTTTGAGGAGCAGGTGGAAACTGTGACACCAGTGCTGAGCCAAGGATATTCCACAAACAGCAGACATCCATGCATAGCTACTGCTCACAAATACCACAGCCAGGGTGCTGAGGGCATGGATAGCATTGGTCCTTTGGCCAGTACCAGACAGTGCACTGGTGCCATTCCAGTTGATGTAAATGGTATGATATTAAAATAAATAAATAAATATTTTTGGGAAGAGGATGTTAATCAACCTGGCCTAGTAAAATTGGAAGACTACTAATTGTTATTTCTTGCAATAATTATCCTGCAGCTCAGAGCCGCTCTTGGTCTTACAAACCAGACTCACTTTTTTTACAGAAGGTGCAGGTGACCACTCAGGGCTTTGTTTGTGTTTGTTCAGGGCAGACATATCTGTCATTTGACTCCTGAGCAATATTTTAAAAATCAAATTAGTGTTTTGACTTTGGAAGCCATTACTGTGGTTATTTTGATTTATTTTGATTGGCTTTTTTATTTATTTTGATTAAAGAGCATTAAATCTGTACAAAACATAACCTGCCATTTTTATGTGAGGGTGTTTACTGTGTATACAGGATATAGGTGTATATAGGAAAAGAAGATATCATATAATGACATCTAAGTTCAAATAACTCCCCTTCCAAAAAAACCAAAAAAATCCTCTTCTTGAGACTTATTTTCTAGTTTAGTTAGAACTGAAAAGGTTGTGTAAGGAAGAAGAAATTTACTAGGCAGGACTTACTGCTTGTTTATTACCTGTTGCCATTGAGCACAGAGTGTTTTTGTGGTCTAACACCTCATCTGCATTCTCTCACACTTTTTAAACCTGGCCTACTCGATGTTTCTCAAATTCAGAGGTTGGGCTTTAGAACAGAGCACTTGTGCTTTGTTTCCATGGCTTCTTCAGCAAATTCAAATACACTTAAACTCCTGGTGATAATTTTACAGGGAAGTAATTGCTACACATGAAGTATTCCCAAAACATCTAAGTGGCATATACAAGAGCAAGCCAAATTTAAGACAAAATCAGTGTGAAGCAAGTGGAACTGGCCCCATAGGCCATTTGCTTCTGGAATCCACTTTTTTCTTTCCTTGCATTGTCCTCCCCACTGTGGGTAGCTCCATTCATACGTGGACAGCTGCATTCAATTCTTGCTGCTCACTTCATGCCCCTTGCCCACCCCTCATAATCCAGCCCAGAGGTTAATGTATGCAAGCTCAGGAAGGAGAAGTGTTGAGGCATATAGGTGAACAGAGCTGTAAAACTTTATAAATTCACCAGGCTCCATGTTTTGGAGTGGGTGCTGGTATTTTGAATTTTTAGCTTTCCTTAGCTAAAGAGCTTGTTTGAGGAGTAGTATGTGAGATTAACATGGCAAGACATGTAGATGGTCCTGCTTCAGAAGAAGACTTAGTAGAAAGCAAATAAACATGAGCTTTATAGACATATTCAAAGGGAAAAATGTGATAGCTTGGGAAATGTGTTCTCAGGACAACTGAAGTGCCTCAGATGCAGCTATTTGGTAATTCAGTATGCTAATGACTTCAAAGTGACCTGTGCTCCACTGTGCTGCAAATAGATTTCTTTGTATTGGTACACACAGACTTGTGCTTTCTGGTCCATAGCCTTATTCATTAATCCTTACTGACATCTATTATTGAATTTACCTTCTCTAAACAGTTGGTTTCCACCTCTGCTATTAATTCTCCATTCTAGAAAATAGATTAAAACTACCTTTAAAACACAGCCTAGTGAAGACACAAGCCAGTGACTCAGATATCCTTTTTTTCTTCTGAAGACAGCACCCCTACTGTTTAAATATAATTTTTTCTTCTTTTTTGTAGTTGATATTCGCATGTGTGTTCAGATCTGACAACAGTTTTGTTCACTTGGTGAGGGAATTTTTCCTGGAAGGTTACAAAAGCCCATTAACAGCAGCACACAATGCAGTGCTGAGGAGCGTGCATGCATGAACTACAAGTCTGCCAGCTTTTTGTGAAGCTCTGCATGGGGCAGTATACTGAAATAAAGCCTTTCAGACCCTTTTAATGTAGTTCTGACCTTCCACTCTATATTAAACAGATGACTGGAACCAGAAAGATAGGTCATTGTGATTGCAGTTAATATTTGTAAGGACCAAAGCAGCTCTCAGCCTTTGAGGTAGAAGGGAATCATCTTAAGTGTGAAAATGTATCATCACAAGAATGGAGAGGATCAAAGGAAGGCCAGCTGGTGCTCGGACATCTTTTCATAACCTTTATTACAATGCTAGAATACACTAACCTCAATGGGAAGTCCATTCAGTTCATGTATTTCAAATAGATAATCTGTATTCTGGTGAAACAAAGAATGTGAAAAAAAGCCCTTTCTAAAAGGGAGGTGGTCAGCACAAATTGCCTATGATTTAATCATTTTGGTTTTCTAAAATCAGCTTAGCTTTTTCAATGCAAATATATGAATGTTTAACATACTGATTTTAGAAGTGATTGAAAATTTGTATAATTTAGGTGCAGAGAGTTCTAGCTGATTTTACTGTCGTTTACTTCCACTTCAGAATAAATGTCCTCCACATATTCACATATTCCCATGTACAAAAAGTAAGACATAGTATTTCAGGGAAAAAAAAGCCAACAGAACAATCATAAACATTAAATCATTCAGAAGGCATGCATATGTGGAGCTGTGAAAAGGCCAAGATTAAGGCTGACTAGTTTTGACAAATACCCAAAATTTAAGTTTGGGCCTTCACTGTAAACATATATCACATATATCACAATAAACATATATGAAATTAGCAATATCAAAGCAGAAAATCAATGAAGATTGCTCTTTGTTGGTCTGCTGCCACAGTAAAGTCC